AGCTTTCTGCTAATGCTCCTGGAAAAACAGTGGAAGATGGCCCAAGTACTTGGGCCTTGTACCCAGCTGGGAAACCTGGAAGAAGCTCATTGCTCTTGGCTCCGGGCTTTGGCATGGCTCAGTCCCAGCCATTGCAGCCACTTGAGGAGTGAACCAGCAGATGGAAGACCTCCCTCTCTCTCCTTCCCTCACTCCCTCTCTCTCTCTGTAACTCTGTGTTTCAAATAGGTTAAGAAAAGTTTTTTTTTTTTTAAATACTAGGAACTGCTGTATATTATTAACATCAAAAATTTTTTGGTGTCTTTTTTTTTTTTAAGATTTATTTATTTGAAAGACAGAGAGCAAGAGCAAGAGAGCGAGAGAGATATCTTCCATTCACTGGTTCAGCACCCAGATGGCCACAGTGGGTTAAGGCTGGGCCAAGCAAAAGTCAGGAGCCAAGAACTCCATCCATATCTCCCATGTGGCTGGCAAGGACCTGGGTAATTAGGCCATCATCTACTGCCTTCCCAGGTGCATTAGCAGGTAGCTGATTCAGAAGCAGAACAACCAGAACTCAAACCGGCATTGCAATATGTGATGCCAGTATCACAAGTATTGGCTTCACCTACTGCACCACAAAGATAGCCTCTCTTGGTATTTTAGTTCACATGTTACATTGGTTCAAGAGGCACATTTTCTAGGTTCTTTTGGTCACCTGTAATTACTTGCAGACCTTTTTGCACTCATCTCAGTTTGTGTATGTAGAGGACAGAGCTTCCTCCTTGCTCTGATTGAACAGGGGATTCAAATAAGAAAATGATTAGATGTGTTTATATCATAATATGACCTTGATGGAAATGAAAAGATGAGAAATAGCAAGCCAAGTAAAGTGGTTATCACAGTTTTAAATGTTAAAATGTGCAGTTTTCAGCAAAGTTGAGTTTATACAGAAAACCCACGAAGAGACTGAACTTAGTATTTATATAGGGAGGGAAGGATGAGTATTGGCTCAGGGCAGCAAACCCTTTGGTGCCTGTTCCACTGGGATGCAGTTATGGCTTCTAATCCAGGTACAGTATGTGTAGTAACTCAGGCAGGCCCATGTGCTAGGTGAGCCTTTGATATTTTTCTCATTTATACTATTCTTATACTTGGGTATGTTTTAACAGTACATAATATAAATTTGCATTCTCTTTGCCTTTTTTGAGAGAGAGAAAATTGTGGTGTGTTTTTGTTTGACCAAGAACCTAGTTGGCTACTGACCTAAAAACAGTTAAGTTTGCTCCAAATGTCTAGAGAAATAGAATTGACACTGAATAATACAGGATGTTTCAGAGATTTTGTAGAAAAGTGGAATTAAAAGATAAGTTTATTTTGGTGCAAAAAATTTGAAATACATGTATAGTTTTTTCAGAGTGCATTTTCCATGAACTTTTTGAAGACCCTGCATATGCATGAATTTACTAAAAAGTGCTGATTCAAAAACTTGTTTTATGAAGTAAAAATTCTAAGTTCTTATCTGTTAGGCTTTATTTTGCTAACATTGTCAGAACTAGCACATCTGTTTTAGATTCTAAAATAGTTTGGTTTTATGCTTCAGTAAAAATGAATTCAATCAAATTGGAATTGAAGATAGATAAAAGGAAGTGTTCCTAAGCATAGCAAGGTTATCAGGGAAGGTCTTGAGCATTTCCTTTCTGAGTGGCCTTTAAAAATAGGCTGCCATCAGGGTGGGCATTTGGCATAGCAGTTAAGACATAGTTTGGGATGTTTGCATCTCGTATTGGAGTGCCTGGGTTCAAGTCCTAGTCTACTTCCAGTTCCAGTTCCACTGCCAGCAGCAGATGATGGCTGCATACTTAGGTCCTTGCTGCCCACTTGGAAGACACCAGTATTGAGTTCCAGTCTCTTGGATTCAACCTGGCCCAGTCCAGGCTATTGTGCTTTTTCAGATAGTGTAGGCATATTCAGATACAGATCTGTATAAACGGGTGCCATGGTGATGGAGATGGCATAAATGAGTCTCAACAGGTCTTGTGATTCCTTTTTTTTTTTTTTCCCTTGCAAAGCAGAGAGACATAGAGACAGAGATCTTCCATCTACTGGTTCACATCCCAAATGCCGTGACAACTAGGGCTGGGCTAGTCCAAAACAAAGATTCTAGAACTTAACGTACATCTCCACATGGTGTGGCAGAGACCCAAGTACTGGAGCCATCATCTACTGGCTCCCAGGGTATGAATTATTAGGAAGCTGCAATTGGAAGCAGAATTGAGATTCAAACCCAGAAGATTCCATTATCAAATGCAGGTGTCTCAGGCAGCATCTTAACTGTCATGCCAAACACCCCTACTCCCAGAGTTCTCTTTTTCTTGATTATACTGCTCATCTTCAACACTTTATACATACTTCATTGATTGGACATTTGAATATTTCTTTTCTTTGGAGGGGGCATAGGTTTTTTTTTTTTAAGATTAATTTATTTTTCTTGAAAGTCACAGTTAGAGGAGAGAGAGAAAGTGAGAGGGAGAGAGAGAGAGAGAAAGTCTTCCATCCACTGGTTCACTCCCCAGATGGCTGCAACAGATGGAACTGGGCCAGTCTGGAGCCAGGAGCTTCTTCCAGGTCTCCCACATGGGTACAGGGGCCCAAGGACTTGGGCCATCTTCCACTGCTTTCCCAGGCCATAGCAGAGAGCTGGATGGGAAGTGGAGCAGCCAGAACTTGAATTGGTGTCCATATGGGATGCCGGCACTGCAGGCGGCAGCTTTACCCTCTATGCCACAGCACCAGCCCCCATAGGTTTGTTTTTAAAGTAAGGTTTAGTGGGTGTTTTTTTTTTTTTATCATCTTTATCAGATTTTCCAATATTCCTATCTCTCTAAGGCTGTACACTTTCATTTCAGTTTGGTTTTTGCATCATTTTGTTTGATTCCCTTGTCTACATTTCTCCCCAGATATGAGTTAAGTCATAGAACCAGACATAATACTTCAATGCAGTTCATTGAGATTCTTCCCTTAATAGATAGTGAAGGAGAATTGTTTAGTTTGCAGGAATGTGTGAAAAAGGTTACCTTATATTTAAACCAGGTTGCTTTGGGATTATATAAGAATGATGATTAAAAATGTTAGGTCTTGATCCAGAAGTATAAACAAATGCCTCTGTGCTGTTTGCAAAATATGTATAATTTTATGTCCCTGTGATGCTAGTGGGACAACATCAGGTTCCCTCCTCTCCAACTTGATTCTGTATTCCTTAATTATGCCAGCCATGGAGCCACTAGCAGAGATTCAGCAGTTCACTCTTGGGTAAATGATGCACTCTCTGAAGTGGCAGGCTGGAGGCTGTGGCCCAACTCCACTGGGTATTCAGAGCGCATGCCAGTAAACGTTTTCATTGAATCAGTCAGGAGTTGTGGGCCTGATCCCTTTTCAAGTTGGTGGTGAGAGAAATGAGTAAGCACCCTTTTTAGCTTCAGTAGAGTATACAGCATTGATAAACTTCTGTGGCATTGGTTAATTTGGTAGATATGGGGTAAGCCTATGTTTTAGTTAAACCTCAGGAACTATTATTAGTTTAGTAAGCCCAGATCAGTGCATTGGCACCCAGATGCAGAGAGAACTTTCTGCTTGTCTTGAAGTAAAATCAGGGTTCAATCCAGGCTTGTTTGGGGCTGGCCTTTGCTGTGGTTTTACAGTGGATGCTCCCAAATGGCTTTCAAAGTCCTTTACAGAAAGGAACGTGGGGTCATGTTCTGGTACATGGCCGGCCTGTACATGTGGTCCCTATAGTCAGCCTAAGACACTCCGCATGGGTTTCTCCATGTATTAATGTGAAACCAAGCGATGTGAGCAGTGAATAAATTGAGTATAAACTTTTAACCATCAAGTACCACTATGGAAAAACCTGTTTCCAAACAGGTTCCTCCTGTGTAAGTTCATCAGTTTTATGTTTCATTTTTTTCCTTTGTCTTTCTTAGGACCAGTTCCAAGTGCAGGCACAGTTCCCCAAGACATCTCCTGACTGAGTTCCTTCAGCCTCCTTATTTTATCCACCCTACTTGGGCCCCTGTGATGAAGAGTTTAGAGCTCTTGAGCCAGGGATGTGGCCCAGTAGGGTCACTGATTTCATCACCAGCTTCCCATATCAGAGTGTTGGTTCAAGTCCTGGGTGTTCTGCTTCTGATATAGCTTCCTGCTAATGTGCATGGGAAGGCAGCAGAAGATGGCCCAGGTACATGGGCCCTTTACATCCATGTAGGAGACCAGAATGGAGTTCCTGGCTTCAGCCAGCCCAGACCCATGTGGTACAGCCATTTCCGGAGTGAACCAGCAGATGAAAGATCTTTCTCTTTCTGTCTTTCTCTCCCACCATTTCTCTTTCTCTTTCACCCTCTCTCTGTCACTCTACCTTTCAAATAAATAAATAAATAAACATATTTTTTTTTAAATAAAGGGCTTGGGACCCGTGTTAGGGTGCCGCAAGTTAAGCCGCTGCCAGTGACACAAAGCATCCTATGTGATCACTGGTTCCAATCCCGCTGCTTCACTTCCAGTCTAGCTCTCTGCTAATGTGCCTGGGAAAACGGTGGAAGGTGGCCCAAGTGCTTGGGCCCCTGCCACTCACTTGGGAGACCTCTGATGGAGTTTCTAGCTCCTAATTCCTTCCTGGCCCAACCCTGGCTGTTGCAGCCATTTGGGGGAATGAACCAGTGAATAGAAGATAACTCTACCTCTCTCTCTCTCTCTCTCTCTCTGCCTTTCAAATAAATATAAATATTAAAAATGCAGGGCCTGTACTTTCTTATTTGCTCCTAATTTTTTTCTTACAAGAACATCTTGGTGCAATTACAAATAGTTCTAATACTAGAAAGTGTGAGGGAGAACTGTTTTCATAGCCAGTGGTTTTAAGAGGAGTGGTTCTTTTTAAAGTAGATTAGTGGGCTTTTAGTGTTAAATGTGTATTGACCTTTTTTTGCCAGAAGAAACATTGATTTTTCTCTCACTATGTTTTTCAGGCTCCGCCTTCTTCCCTGGGCGATGTGCTGAGATCTTTGCCAGGGGTCAAAGCATCGGGAAGCTTGGGGTCCTTCATCCTGATGTTATCACCAAATTTGAGCTGACCATGCCCTGCTCCTCCCTGGAAATCAATATTGAGCCCTTCTTGTGAAGATGGTCTCTGTTGTTGATTCTCCCTCTCCTCCAGTGTCCCTTTCTCCTCCCGTGGTGTCCTTCAGCCCTTTTCCACTGGGAACATCCATTTGTGCTTTAATGTTTAATAAACTGAAGGCGCTGTCTGGCTCCCTGAGCAAATCCCCTTTCCCTGCATTAGGTCAGCGAATGCAGCCTACGGATGCGTTGTCTGTGCGCACAGCTGGGTTGCTGTTTCAAAGTCCCAGGGAGAGCCGGAAGAATGCACTGCCGAGCACATGTCATCAGGCCCCCTGGCTCAGAACTTCACATGGCAGCCCATGCCTCCTGCCTAACAGGGTCCCCTTCTTTTCCTCATTTATGAAACATGATAATGACTAGAGCACACATTACAAGAGTCTGAGGTAACTAAGATTTTTAGCTTCATTGTCCACATTTAACATATATTCATTTTTGGGAAACCAAAATATAGTATTTTTAGAAAACCTTTAAGAATCAGTTATGGAGGCACGCTTTTGGACGCTCATATCCGATATTGGAGTACCTGGCTTTGAGTCCTAGCTCCACTCCCATTTCCAGCTTCCTGCTAATGTGCACCCTGAGAGGCTTAAGTACTTGCATCCCTGCCACCCACGTTGGAGACCCGGATTGTGTTGCTGTCTTCAGCCTGGTACAGCCCCCGTGGTTGTGGACATTTATGAACTGAACCAGTAGATGGGAACACTCTGTCTATATGGCTCTCTGCCTTTCAAATAAAAAAAATTTATAGTTTAGCAGTTACAGTTTGAGGTAATTTTATTTCATTTATTTTTTTAAAGATGTATTTATTTATTTGAAAGGCAGAGTTACAGAGAGGCAGAAGCAGAGAGAGAGAGAGAGGTCTTCCATCTGCTGGTTCACTCCCCAGATGGCCGCAAGGAACTGCTCTGATCCAAAGCCAGGGGCCAGAAGCTTCTTGCAGGTCTACATGAGTGCAGGGGCCCAAGGGTTTGAGCCAGCTAATACTATTTTCCCAGGCCATAACAGACAGCTGGATTTAAGAATGAATGAGGGCTGGCATTGTGGCGCAGTAGGTAAAGCCACTGTCTGCAGTGCCAGCATCCCGTATGGGTGCCAGTTCGAGTTCCAGTCACTCCAGTTCAGATATAGCTATCTGCTAATGTGCCTGGGAAAGCCGTGGCACATGGTCCAAATCTTTGGGTCCCTGCCACTGATGTGGCAGACCTGGACGAAGCTCCTGGCTCCTGGCTTTGGCCTGGCCCTTTCCCAGCCCTAGCCCCAGGCATTGCGGCCTTTGAGGGAGTAAAGCAGCATGTAGAAAATCTGTCTTTTCCTCCCTTTTCTCTGTAACTGCCTTTCAAATAAATGTCTTTAAGAGTAGATATTGGGGTGATAAAAATATTTTATACCTTAGTTCAGGGGGTAGGTATAGCTAGGTATGCATTATACCTCAGTGAACTGGGAGGAAAAATGTAATGCAATGTGGTATTTTAATTTTAACCACTCAACACAGCTAATGTATACATAAGGTAAAATGGCATGTAATTTAGAATAGGGATTTCTGGTCAACATGGCTTACTGGCCTACAAGTGTCCATGAGGCGTCTGTCAGGTTGTCATTGATTAAAATCATGACTCAAGAATCATGACAGGGGCTAGCACTGTGGCATAGCGGGTAAAACTGCTGCCTGTGGTGCCAGCATCCCATATGGGTGCCGGTTCGAGTCCTGGCTGTTCCATTTCCAATCCAGCTCTCTGCTATGGCCTGGGATAGCAGTAGATGATGGCTCAAGTCCTTGGGCCCCTGCACCCATGTAGGAGACCCAGAAGAAGCTCTTGGCTCCTGGCTTTGGATTGGTGCAGCTCTGGCCATTGTGGCCAACTGGGGAGTGAACCAGCGGATGGAAGACCTCTCTCTGCTGCTTCTCTTTCTATGTAACTCTGACTTTCAAGTAAATAAATAAATCTTAAAAAAAAAAAAATCATATGACAGCCATTGATGAAGTGAACGGAACCGTTTGTTCTGTTAACAACCAGCCACTTACATATTTTTTGTATAGTCAAATTACTTGTAATGAAAAAATTTACCAGTAGCTAATTGTATGTATATCCCAGCATGGAAGGGGGAAGATCTCCATGCATCATAGAGATGTTCCTACCCTGTGAGTCAGGAAACTGCAGGAAGGAAAAGTTAATGGCTGTACTGGGCGTGAACCTTCAGCTAATGGGCGCAGGGGCTCCACAGCCAGATCATCTTACACTTGTTCCCTCTGAAGCAAATGAACTCTAGCCAGGGCAGCCTGTGGATACTGCCAAGAGCCTTTCCTGGATGAGACACACACCTGCTTAATAAAAACTGAGAGCTTTAGTATTAAAAGGAAAATTACATTGATTTTGATTCTAGCTTACAGGTCAGTTCTATTATTAGAGCTTGGCATTCCTGCCTTGCTGTTTGTTCAAAGTGTTTTCCATGTGATCTTGTTTCAGTTTTAATTTTTTTTTTTTTTGGTTTAGCAATTGTAGGAGATAGAAAGGAAAACAGTTGAACTTCAGAGTGATTAATGACTTGCTCAGAAGTTATATAACCAATAAATGGGGTTGGAGATCACAGCTGATTTGATGATTTGCATCATTTACCTATTTATCCAAAATGTTGAGACTTCTTGCAAGTTTTATTTATTTATTTATTGACAGGCAGAGTGGACAGTGAGAGAGAGAGACAGAGAGAAAGGTCTTCCTTTGCCATTGGTTCACCCTCCAATGGCCGCCGCGGCTGGTGCACCGTGCTGATCCTATGGTACTTATCCTGGTCTCCCATGGGGTGCAGGGCCCAAGCACTTGGGCCATCCTCCACTGCACTCCCTGGCCACAGCAGAGAGCTGGCCTGGAAGAGGGGCAACTGGGACAGAATCTGGCGCCCTGACCGGGACTAGAACCCGGTGTGCCAGCGCCACAAGGTGGAGGATTAGCCTAGTGAGCCGCGGCGCCGGCGCAAGTTTTATTTTTTTAATGTTTATGTTTATCTGAAAAGCAGAGAGAAAGATCTCCTCTTTGCTGGTTCACTCCCCAAATGCTCACAACAGCCAGTGCTAGGACAGGCTGAAACCAGGAATTCCATCTGGATTTCCCACGTGTGTGGCAAGGACCCACATATTCAAGCCATCAGCTGCTGCCTCCCAGCAAATGCATTAGCAGGAGGCTGGATCTGAAATGGAATAGCTGGGATTCGAACCAGGCACTACAATAAGGGATGCAGGATTTCAAGCAGCGGCTTTAACCACTGTGCCACGACTCCCACCCCCTACAAATTCTGTTTTGTTGTAATAAAAAATACTGAAAAAAAATTAGGAATCATAATTACTTAAAAAATTATATAAGTAGGGGGCCAGCATTGTTCTTCACTCTTCATCTGTTAGTTTTGGCTAGAGACATGTCATAATTATCCATTAGCAAATATTTTGAAAGTGCCACCAATCTTAGGATGCCCTGACAAGGCTATCTGAGAGAGCTGCCACAGCATTGGAGTTAGAGGACTTGTCAGACATGAAGTGAATCTGATCTTCAGGACAGAAAAGTGAAGATGAGAAGGTGTGCCTGTTTGATACCAAATAGGATAGAAAAAGACATTTTTCTGCTTTCTAAAAACCACAACTTTTTCATATAGGGAATGAAAATACTCCCCTCCCAAAAACAAGCACCTGTTTTGGGTCAAGAAACCGATCGTGACAGATGCAGTCCCTTGTACACATCCTCATTTTATCTGGACCGAAACGGTAAAAACCCAGTCGGAGGTGGGGTGGGTGAGTTAGAGACTTCTTACCTGTGAGTCTTGGGCAGAACATTTACATCAGGAGCACTGGGAGTGGTGGCAAGGCTGATGAAGCGAGATAAGCCAGACAGAGTCACCTGGGAGCAAACTGTGCTGTGGGGAAGAGAGAGCATTTAGGCCAGGCACAAGTGGGAAACACCGTGCCCAACACCTGTCACACACAGGCGCTGGACTGCGGAATGTATTGGAGCATACCGGAATTCTCTTGATTTGTAAGATACTTCAACATCTTTTTGTCAGTGCCCAGTTAAGATGGCTAAAATGTTGTTTATTTCATGTGCATGTGCATAATTTACCCCATCCTTCACCCTATCCGTCTAGTTCCCATGTGACTGAGTGCAGACTAGAAACCAAGGAGGCCTCACTCCTGTGCGGGCTCATGGATGGATGCAGGTAGGCACAGGTGTTAAGACAGCACCCAGTTGCCACCCTAACCTGCCCACAATGATCCAAGGTTAGCTTTGGGTATGTTATAGCATCTTGGAACACCTGCATAGGAGAGAGTCTAGCTTGTGCTCTGATCAAGGGTATCTGGTATGTGATCTGATATCTTAGCAAAGAGAAGGCCAGCAGATGTGTTGAGTGTGTGTGCTAAAGAAACGTTACAGCCAGAATTCCTAGCTACATCCTAGCTTTTCTTGTTTGTTTTTGCATGCCATATAGACAGGCGTGGAAAAGGAAGAAGAATGTTTGGCTTCACATAGCTCCCTTGTCTCATGTGGCTACAGTTTTCAGAACTTAACATTCTATTCATGGCCCACATTCAACTCTCATTCTTAATATGTAAATATGCAAGTCTGTACTTCAGGTGTGTTCCCAAAAACAAAGGATGTGGGGTGTGTCCACAGTCATTTATTAAAGCCTTATGTTCACAGAAATGAAGAATCATCACATGATTTTTTAGGGCACTTACAATTGGTGTTTTTTTAATTTATATTTTTAATATCACTGACTATTAAATAAGCTTTAGTAGTTTGTGTCTTTTAAGGAATTTGTTCATGTAATTTGTCAAACTTATTGGCATAAAGTTGTCCATAACATGTGTTGCCTTATTTTTTAAAAAAGATTTATTTTATGTTATTTGAAAGGGAAAGTTACAGAGAGGCAGAGGCAGAGAGAGAGAGAGAGAGAAGTCTTCCATTCGCTGGTTCACTCCCCAATTGGCCACAACGGCTAGAGCTGTGGCGATCTGAAGTCAGGAGCCAGGAGTGTCCTCCAGGTCCCCCATGCAGGCGCAGGGGCCCAAGCACTTGGGCCATCTTCCACCATCTTCGCAGGCCACAGCAGAGAGCTAGATTGGAAGAGGAGCAGCCAGAACTTGA